TTCTCCTCATTCTTTGCAGTTAGAGACACACAATGCACACACACCCACACCCACACCTACACACCCACATTGTGTGGTTGCTACTCAACTGCCAACATGTGGCTGGGAAGGATAATACACTGTTAGGAATACTGACCATCTAACTATGTTTTGGAGTCACCTACATAGCTATATGTGGCATTGGAATTAGGTTATGTGCCAAGTTTTAGGGGGGGAAAAAACTTGAAGCTGTTGATTAGATTAAGGAATCTAAAAGTAAGATTTGATTGAGATTGCACAAACAAATAAAAGCAATTGACTTTTCTGATCATGATTCATATTCTAGAGGAGTTGACCTTGAAGAAGAAAATTGATACATTACACATGTTATGCATATGTATATATATGGACAACATCCTCTATTGAGGTCCTACACATAATTCATTGATTGAGATTGCATTACCACTAACGATTCCATTTATTAATTCAATCTTAATTACTAAATTCTGTGCATGACCTCTCTTGCATTGGAGATAATCCTTGTCCATGTATATATCTATATATATATATATATATACACACACACACATACAAAAAAAAAATACCCATAATATTGCAACACAATTATAAGCCTCCCTGATGATGAAGTAGCTAGAGCTTGACTTTATTTTCATTTTGATACTAATTTAAATACTGTTAAAACTATGGAAACCATTTTACTCTTTTTATCTATTGGTATCAAAATCAGAAATAAAAAATAAATAATAAAAAAAATTTCCTCAAAACAAGAAGGATATAGTTTCATCATTGCCAAAATGGAGTTTGGAACCAATGTTGTTACAGTGTCATGTAAATCAAATCAAATGTTAATTATAATATAAACCATGGTTGCAATAAAATCAAATCCCTTCCCGGATCACCATGCCAGACACCAATATTGCCAAATTCCCGAACTTAATTTATTCCTTGGTTACTAAAATAATCTTAATTTCCATGTAAATGCTTGCTCATCTGTATTATCACTCATTTACTCATTACAAAAAAAAATAAAAAATAAAAAAAAACTTTCATCAATTAGTGTTTGCATATGCAACAAACTGTAAATCAATCTTCTAAGGACAATTCCAAATTGTCATGAAGTTCCTGATGGAAGGCATTGCTAATGATGAGCATTATCATAATAACTGGAGGATTACAACAATATCATATATTCAACTTTATATATATATATATATATATATATATATATATATATATATATATATATATATATTCTAGGCAGTGCATCCATTAATCCTCTGCCACCGAGTGTCTTTTTCAGTGGCAGCTGAACACCATAGCTATCTACATATGTGCACTTTTACTATATATTCTTCCGGCAACCATGGAAAAGATTCCAGCTTTACACTTCAATAGTATTTTAATTTATTTTTGCCTTTATTCATTTTTTTATGTTTCATGATTTAACTTTAAATATTTCTCTCCATTTCTGAACAATGTTGGCTCTGCATAAACTCAAACTTTGCAGCAACTAACCTCCATTTTACAAAAATTAACAATAATAAAAGAAAATTATTCCATGTTCTACTTTCAATAACGGTGATTAATTCGCTTGGCCCTCCACCATTAATCTCTGACCATATATATATATATATATATATATATATATTTCCCCACTCCAATGGCAATACATTCATTGTCGCCTCATATCATTGTCAAAGCCATAATTTCTTCATTTGTCACTGACCCAACCTTAACAATGATATCTTCCCCACATATTTGATTGCCCCAACAACGGGAGGATCCCTTCCCCACACATTGATTACCATTATAAAATGATATATAAAAAACGTACATCTCACATGTAAAGATTATCTTTTGGATTTTGGTACCTCATGAAGTATCAGGTATCAAGATTGATTCCTCTTAGATATAAACAGTTCCTTAGGGGCCATGGTCAGAGCTTTACCTGATCCGTATGAGGACACCTTGCACTGGTCCCGTAAATTAGTTCGAGGCAAAGCCCCAACATCCCGATTATAAAATAAAAAAATAAAAAAAATAAAAGAAAAAAGACCATCTCTTACCAAACATTTGAAATATACTTTCAAATAAATGCATGACGGTGTACGTCATGTTCTTTCACCACTATCATTCAATTCGGTTAGATAGACTTGACTTCTTAGAAAAGGACCAAAAGGCTTAAAAATCAAGGGTTATAACATATTTATAAGGTTGGTACCACATATCCCCAAATTTTAACTTATTCACAAATGAGCCCAACAACATATATATGAAACTCTTTCACCAATGAGCTTCTCAACTATATTTGTGATTTTATTTAGGGTTAGAGTTCTAGGTTGCTTGGATTAGGAAGACAATGCTTTGCAGTGGATTATGTTGTTGCATGATGTTCCCGGAGAACTAAAAAACATAGAGTACAGCCTTCAAAGTTCATTTAGTTAACAATTTTTCCGAAAGAAAAAGGAAAATTTTGATTACAAATAAGGTCAATATAGGCGTCGCGATTGCCACTACTAATGCCAATTTTCCCCTCAAATTTCATTGTCGAAAGCCAGCCTTTTGTGTTGCAAATGAAGTCGTCCCAAAATGCATGTCCAGCTGTTATAGTGTAATTCGACGGGGAAAAGGCAATATTTTGAGTGTATGGTCACTCCATTCATCCTTGAATGGTAGATATATCAACATATATAGTTTTTAAAAGTCGCAAAAGAAAGAAAATTTGTATATGATATTTGTATAACAAGGTCAAAATATATCTCGTGATATATCCCGTGTTAGTTGGAAGTTTGATTCACATGCAACTACCATCACCAAAACAATGTGGAGGAAGCTTGAATAAAGATTCAGTATATAAACTATAAGCACGATCAGTTTCTTTGAATGTTTGGTGTCCATATATATATATTTATGTATGTATGTATATGTATTGATAATATTTGCATAGTACCAAACACAGAAATGACAGCATTACCTTGAAATTCAAGTAATGCATGCTCACTCAACCACAGTGCTTTGATTAAATTTATAATTTTCCTATGCGTGGGTTGCATCAGCTTTTTCTAGACTGAGACTACAATTTATACAAATAGATATATTCTAATATATACTCTGCAATATTTTAAGGTTGGCTCCTATTCGATCTCCTGAAGGTATATTCAGGGCCCCCCACATTAATTTGCTTATACAACTATATCTATATCTATATATATATATATATATATTTGCAATTTATCTATCTCATCGATCAGTATGCTTGTTTTTGCAACATTTTTTATTTTAAAACTATATCCAGTATAAAAAATAATTTCAAGTGATCATAAAATTAAGATAGTAGAGAACAATCTATTCAAATATTATTCATGTTATACACTTTTTTTTTTTTTCCCCCGGATAAGCTAAGATGGTATTAAGAGGAAAAACTATACAAGCAGCAAGGAGAAAACTGCAAACCAAAACAAAGAAAGTCTTCATTGACCCCAAAAAAAAAAAACAAAAAAAAAAAGACTTCTACCATGAATTAGGTACTAATATTTATTTAAATCGATTTAAATATTTCATTATTTTCAGCACGAGATATTTGTTTTGTGAACATTGCACGGACATATAATTTGTTGAGAGAACAAGAAAAGTATAATGTATATTCAATCAGATCATGAGTTTGTCCAAAGAAGATTCTCCTGTCCTGATTCTTAAAAAAATCATGAAAATTCGTGAAAATGACGAGGTAGTATCACACTTTTTCTTTTTCTTTTTTCTTTTTTTCTTATTTTCTTTTTTTCCTAAGAGTAATAGTACTGATACAGAGAAACTGTTGAAGAAAGCAAGGCTTGAAGAAGCAACCAAAACTGTTGAAGAAAGCAAGGTCCACGTACTGGATCATCAGTCATTCTTCTGCCATCAACTGGTCATCCTTAGATTGCCCTATCCACAGATTCTGGAGGTGAGCACTCTTCCATTCCGGCCTTTCCCCTCCAAATATTGCAAAAAAAGATGGAAGAACCCTAAATTCCAAGATATAGACATATTTTTCATAAGATGAATCACAGTTTTTTTTTTTTTTTTTTTTTTTTTTTTTAATGAGTTCACTTAATTTTGTATTACCACATTAATCCATAAATTGGGAAGAGGGCTTATTCAATTGGGGTGCTAAATTATTTAACTGTTTGATCTATACACTTGAATTACAATGAATTGAAAAGAGGACAATATAATGTAATAAGCATTCATAATATTACCCGAGCTCCTATATAGTAGGTACCCTGGTTAAGCAATTTTTTCCCCCATTTCTAGAGAGATTCTCACTTTATTAAATTATATGAAACTTGAAGATTTCTCACTTTATTGTTTCAATTCACAAAAATTATGTGATGCAATAATGTTGAAAACAATTATATATATATATATATATATTATTTAAGGATTTCTAACATTATTTAAGGAGAAATTCATAAGTAAATACATTTTCTTTTTCGTATTTCTACATTCATATTCTTCTCTACCATTGATTAAATTTTTTAAGAACACTTCTTAAGAATCCAGAAAATTGAAAACTATTTAGAAAAAAAAAAACCTTATAATAAGAATAGACATTTTTTAATTGGATTTTCATAAAAGGGTTTCCAAAAATTTTTAACCAACCATATTTTTGTAACTTTCAGCTTTTAGAAAACTGTTTCTCAAAAAGCCGAATCAAAGAAGCCCTTTATTTCTCTCTTGCTCCCTCTCTTCAATCCTAGAAGCCAACAAGACACAGCAAGACTTACCGGCCGGTGACATTTGCAGCTTCGAACAATTCTTAGGGTGACCAAGACCCAAAACCCTAGCCGAAGAACCTAGGCGTTGTTCGGCTATCAGGCCCTAAATTTTTGCAACATGTGGTACAATTATTTACTTATTTCTTTAATTTCTAACTTCAGTCTTCTTGTTTGTTCTTTGATTGTCTTCAAGATCACGTACAGATCCTTGGAGATCACTATAAATAAATTTGATCACATAAATAGAAGAAGAACATAAACCATAAACCTTATAAATTTTACAAGAACACCATCGATCCAAATATTTATCTAGGCAAAAAACATAAAAGAAAAAAATGAGACACCTCAAAGATTTTAAATCTTTTCTTCTTTTGGTAAGTAACATAATATTATCAAAAAAAGAAAAGATATATAAAGTTTCTTACTAATTAGAATATATATATTCACATATATAACCCCACATTTGATCACGTAAATAGAAGAAGCGTAGGAGATGAAGCACATCCGAGTTCGGTTGATATTGCAGACTGGTTTTCTTTTCTCTCCTCTTCTACAGTCGAATTTGATGGAGAAACAATGGTTATTGTGAGATCAAGGTTCAAATCAGGCAAGCCGTTAGGGTTTTCCTCTGAATAACTTCCAGCATCAGAGACCTGGCCGTTATCACCTTGGCTTTTCTCGGGCTGACATGCATGGCTTTCCGGAGAAGACAATATTGCAGTAGTACTACCAGAGGCACCATGGTTTTGAGGCCGAGGACGATTATTTCGCAACTTATGGTTATTTGGATCAATACCCATCTTTATTAGCTTTCTTCTTAGATGAGAATTCCAATAGTTCTTCACTTCATTGTCAGTTCTTCCTGGCAATCTCCCAGCTATAAGTGACCACCTACAAATAATTACCAATTCAAGGCTTAGTATATTTAATACATACATACATATATATATATATTACACTTCATGTATGTGCTTAATTGTGTGTTTGCAACTTATTTTTAGACTACAATAAATTAATTATTGTTTGATAATTATATATATGGCTATGCAACTTACATGGAAAATTAATTGTGTGTGTACACAAATTGATTGAGGAAGGGGGAATCATATATATATATGATAAGAATATGTATATATCGCACCGATTGCCAAGGAGTGCATGGAGCTTGATGATGAGATCTTCTTCATCTTCACAAAAGTTGCCTCTTTTAAGGTCTGGCCTTAGATAGTTTATCCATCTCAGCCTACAACTTTTACCGCAACGAAGTAGGCCTGATGCACATGAAAAATTAAATATTAAAATCAAAATCTGCAAAGAATACAAAGGACCAATAAATGTTTGATTTTTTATTTTTTAAAAAAAAAAAAACAAAATCTTCATTTTTCTTTGGATTACACCTTCCAAAATGATGAAGTTATATGTTAGTTTCTCTTGTTTGGTTGAGGTACAAACCTGCAGCCTGAGGTAGAGTGCGCCAACGGCCTTCGCCGTTTGCCTGGATGTAGTCTATGAGCTTCTGATCTTCTTGCTTGGACCAAGCTCCTTTGTTGGTGTCTTGCTTATCACAGCAAGGTTTTCTCATTGTAGACACCTTAATTTACTAATGGAATGAAGGAGAATAATGATACAAGAGTACAAGAACTCAAAGAGGAGAGAAAGAGAGAGAGAGAGAGATGAAGAACTCAACGGAGGGTAGGTATGAGCAATGGAAGTATATATGAGTAGGGAAGAGAAGGTTGACTTAGACCGGTGGTTTGCCCTTGCGTGCGACTGTCGTTGTAGTCTTTAGAGAGAGGGATGGTGGTGGATTAGTATTTATTTAATTGATTAGTTCACAAAATTCGATGTGGTCTGAATCATCCAAATAACACATATCACGACAAGAAAATAAAATTATGTAGTATGATTATTGATGTTTCAATATAATTATATAAATCCTGAATTCAAATTTCTTCACTACAAATTTTTCTGTGTAAATAAGACGCAATAATGTACATTAGGAATATATTGTATTCCCGATATGATGATATTCTTTACATATTGTATCTTCAATATAAAAATATGTTAAATGAGTACGTTTAAATCAATGTATATTATTGTATCCTGTAATTAAATTATAATCCAGTGCACTGAAAAACAGAAAATTCTTTTCGAAAGCAACAAAGAAAAGTATCGTACTTGTCACATGTTTTCAAGTTTTTTTTGTTTTTGGAAATCACTTGTTCTAAAGTTGACTGATAGTTTCCAATATTTGTCATCTATTAGACCAACGACAAACCTTACAGCAACAAAAAGAAATGTACGTGTTATAATAATACAAATTGATCATTCTTTTATAATAATAAAAAAAAGCAAATAAGTTTTAAAAAATTTCTTTCAGACCCAAAAATGTTACTTTTAAATTTTTATTACATTTAAATTATAAATCATGAAATATTCTATTTATACTATTGTTAAATGAAAATTTCTATAATTATACGCATTGTATAAGTCACTAAATTACTTCTTTATTTTATTCTTGATAATTATGTTTGATTAAAGTCTGGTTATATTTTCCTATTTTTTGGATGGTATTTTCTTCAATATATATATATATATATATATTACTAAGAATAATGTTATAAAAAAAGTTATATTAAAATTGATTTATAATCTTCCAAATTTCAGTTACATAGTACCAGTTCAGCTCCCATTTCCCAAATCAAAGTTTCTGGCTACAAATAAAAATAAAAAATAAAAGTGGGTAACCTAGAGAACATAAAATAGGTCAATTTTAACTTGTCATCTCCAATGTGTTAATTTTTTTTTTTTTTTTTTTTCACGTTCTATTCATAAGAATTTTACTTTTTGATAAAATAGTGCCAATCATTGTGTAGCTATAAATTTCCTAATAAATTTAAAATAACGTATATCATGTGCAAGAAAATTGCAGTTGCCTCTATAACTCGGTGAATTAGTGCCTCCGGTAAATTTTGAAGTGCCAAATTTCGACCCTATGCATTTACTTATTAAACATCTAACATTTCATATCTTAAAAAATAAAAATAAAAGAAAATAAAAAAAAACCAAGAAAATATGAATATTGCTGCCACAAGGTATTCCATATATGTTGGGTAAGATGTCAATTTTTTTTTCCCCTTAGATCTTAGTAACTAAAAATGACACATAACCCAAACAATAGAAATAAATATTACTAATATAAGTATTTTCTTTAAATATTCTTCTTATTTATTTATTTATCTATTTTTAGATTAGAGGAAGAAGAGATTCAACAATAACCTCACTGCCCTTAAAATCCCACTCATAAAATGATTTTGGTGGTCTGGTTTTTTTTTTTTTTTTTTTTGAAAGTTAAAGTTAAATTGGATTAAGAAAGGCTAGCCATAGCTAACCAAAGGGCAAAGCCCAGAATACAAAGCAGATTGAAACAGTCAAAAAGGCACATCAAACGTAACGTATAGCTCAAAGGCACCAACAACATAACAGCTATAATCATATGTTGCCACCATTTTCGGTAACAGGAGCAAGACTCCAGCAAAATAACACATCAGTTGTTGAGGTCTGGTGGTTTCCTTGGTGGTCGAATAATTGAATCAGGAACATCCCAATCTGTTGCAATCGTTGAGGCATTAGAAGTGTAGCTGATGGAAGAGACTGTGATTTTTGCTCTAACAGAATCCAGAGTTTGGTGAAACATATTGGTGGTTTGGTGTTGGTAGGTAAGAAAAATGGTAGCACACTTGCACATACCTACATCTAGTGAGATCAAATCACTCACACTTGTGGCGTTCAAATTTTTAACAATGGCTTTTCACGGTTCTGACTTTTTTATTTATTTATTTTTTAAATTCAGTTAAAATAGCACGTTTATAACACTACACATTTTGTGGGAGTTGTTGTTTACAAATCCTAGTAGGTAATAAAAAATGGACCTTTTTAGTAATTCTCTTTTAAATAAATTTGCTGATAATGCAACATCATTTTTCATTTAAGAAGAAAATTTTACATTTGAAGTCTTAAATTTAGAGTATGAAGTTCGACAGAAAAAGTTTATCACCAAGTGCTTGCTTACCTGAATTTACAAGGATGCACTAAAGTTTTTAGTTCTATAAATTCAGCACTTCGAAAATCATCATTTTTGACAGAAAAAGTTTATCACCATGTGCTTGGCTATATAGTTGTTTCCTTACTTTTATTTTGTAGGGAGTAATGCTATTGAGTTAATTCTCTCGGGCCAATAGCCGTTAGCATTTCACCGTTTTTTTAAATTTATGAAAAGTTAAATAAATCATTTAATACATTTTTTAATTTCGTGGTTAATATATGAAAAGCTGACTCTTGTGGGGAGCTCTCCTAATAGCATTATTCTTTCATAAGTATCTTAATTAGGTCTATGTAATCTTTCTGGACAATGATCATCTCCAAACTCTTTTTCGCACGCCCATTTGTCATTAGAACTGCAAAGGTAAGGAAATGAGCTTGTTCTAATAACACTTCGCAATGGGCCACTTGCCAGCTGGCTGAAAAAAAATAAAAAATAAAAAAAATCCTTCTTAGGGAAAAGTTATTATGTGATATTACCTACCCATCCTTATAAGCTCAAGACCCTAATCCGACCCAATGTGACATAAGACTCCTATGGCATTTATTAATTAACTTATGCTCTATTTGGCAGGAAGGAAGAAAGTTGAAGAGAGGGAAGAGAAAGGGATGAACGAGGCATCCTAGGGAAATGGTAGTGTCATTCCTTCTTTGTTTGGTTCAATGGAAGAGAAATAAATGAGACACCTTATTCTGTTTGGTAAAAGATAAGGGAGAAGAGACATTGTCACTATTGATTTTATCTAATAATTACGAAGGGTAGTATTGTAATTTAAATTTTTATAACAGTTTTGCTTCTCTTTTTTTCTCTTCCATCCATATTAGAGGGATAAAAATTTGTAAAGCAGGAAGAATGGCTCATCCTCTTTTCTCTTCCCTCCTCTCTATCAAGCGAAGAAAATTTATTTCTTCATTTATATCTTCTCTCCACCCCTCTTCCTTCCTTCCTTCCTTCTTACCAAACGAATTGTTAGTATTATTATTTTTACCAAAGTTAGAATTTGTCATTTTACATTGCAGGCATTCTTGGTCTGAGAAAGTTAAAAAAAAAAAAAAAAAAAAGTGTTTGGACAAAATGGAAGGACCATTTTTGCGATAAATACTTAACGACAGGATCTAGCAAACATATATATCAGAGATTTATACAAACAGTGGTACTGGAGTCTGGGACCAAAATAGACGCTCGCGATCTGGAGCCCTTGCGCTTCTCGTGCCCATCATATTCAGTACCTGCTTAATTGTTATAAAGGATAGGAAATTGAGACACGTACAGCGAAAGTGAATGGGACTATAGAAAAGTATTATAATAAGAATTGCATATATACAAATATACATATATGTGTATATACCTGTGCGTGCGTGTGTGTGTGGGCAGTGGCATAGCCATGGGAACAAGTGGGGGCAACTGCCCCACTGATCTATAATATATTTATTCAACATTTTTCAAAATCCAAACCAAACAAGCGGAACAATCATTTATCAGTAAACAGAAATTCGACAGACAGATAATTTAATGTTTTTTTTATCATATAAATTTACGATTATTATTTGATATTATAATTTTAATTAGAAAAATTATTAGTTATTATTATTAAAATTATTTTAGGACTTGTTCTTTTAAATTTTAGTTTGTATATCATGGATTTTTATTTTTATTTTTTTTACACATGTGATATATTAGAACACTTAGTTATTTTCTTTTTCATATCATATTCTTGATTCATTGAATATAAATTCCTGATTGAATATTGAATATAGTTTGATATCATATTTTTGCTATTAAAAATTGTCACCGCAGAAGAAAATTTCTGACTGCCTACTGTGTACAGGAGTGGGTTAAGTGTTTGTTTTGAACCGTATACATGGACTGCTAGGTGCATGTAGAGAAGAAAGATGGGTAAAGAGGTGGTGACATGCCAGTGAACATTTCTAGGATCATTCAAAGGTCGTCCGACACTGCATTAATCAACAAGTTATCATATTAAAGAGAATTTCCAGGGAAAGTTGATATAGTATATAATTATCGGAAGAAAAAAAAAGTTGATATAGTATATGTATTCATATCATAATTTCGTACATTTAGTATGTATTATTCAGTGATTAGAGTATACTCTCCGAACAAGTGTATTCATGTTCGAATTCTTCTCTTCTAACTTGCAAAAAACAAAATAAAAAAAATTGAGTATGTTTAGTAGCAATTATCGGCTATATCATATAGTGTGATCCCAAGGCCACAATTGAAATCAAGTACTGTAAAAAAATTGGGCATGTTTAGTAAGTATATTTTTAGGACTCGGATCAACCAAATTGTTCATCAAAAGTTCATAATTAACTCATGTTAACGTCAGTTTGGGTATGTTCATTTAGTAGGTGAGTCAAACTCGAACTCTCTTACATACTTGACGAGTCGATCTCTAATATTATTAAACTCAGAGGCTTGGGAGTACTAAGCTAACATAGGTTCGATAGTCTTAATTATAATACATATATAGGTTAATGAATGTAGATTTAACCATCCATTCATGATTATGGGATGGGGTGATTTTTCGGTGCATGTTGTACGGAGGAATAATATGTGAGAAGTGGTGGATTGTGGGGGTGTTTTAAGAGGCCCAACACCACTATCATTAACCAAAAAAAGAGAGAGAGAGAGACTTGTTCAGATTTTGTAAGTTTAACAAGTTAAAACAATGTCAAATACAAGCTCAAATCGAGTCCGAACATGAATATAATATTGAGGTTTGTATAGGTAAATAAACAAGTCAGGTGCGAATTTTTTTTAAGATAGTGCCGAGTTGAGTCTGATTTTCACTTTTCAAAGTTATCACAATCCCGTGTCAATTTCAAGTTTAACCCATTAAAGAAATAGGTTAATCATAAGCTCAACTCAACTCAATTCATTTGTACCCGTATACTTTAGACTGTGTTAGCGCGATGTGCAATCAAATTCTCTTAGAAGAATTTTAGGTTACACACTCTTTAAGAACTAATTTTACATAATCCCTAGCAAACAAGTGTCAAGATAATAATAAAACATTTATTTGGGAACTATTTCATTATATAAGATAGTTGTGTCCCTACAATAAAATATTAGTATTAGTCACCTTTTCCCAAAGACAAACCGTTTAAATCGCTTCTAGAATTTTAAGAATATAAAAGAAGGCTTAATTTGAATGGTGAGGTTAACCAAGTAGTCGTCATTTTATTTACAGTGTAGACTTTCAGGTGCATCAGAAAAGTAGGTGGTCCCAAGATTAATTACTTTAATATATTTTATAAACATAGAAAAGTTACATGTTATAAAAATAGAAAAGTTGGATAAAAAAATATAAAAAAAACATAGAAAAGTTACATGTAAATCCAATATATATATACACACGGAATCGATAATTCAATATATTTATAGTGGTAGTGACCACCTGGGCACCTACCAAGTTTATAAATTGGGAAAGTCAAAGACACTTTTATTAATCCCACTTTCACTAATTATGTCACATTTTATGAGCATTACAATGCAATAAATACTATCAAAATCCGAAATAGAAAAGAAATAGGTCATGTCCTTCACAAAGTTGAGTTGGTCTAAAAGAAAATGATTCCATTCCATTTTTTGTTTTCAGTGCTTTGAGTGAATGAATTTGATCATTTTAAAAGGTCTCTGCTACGTTTTAGTTTTTGGACATCATTCAGTAACTTAATAGGTAGAGTTTTTAACTTTTCGAACGGGCATGCACTAGCCCGCCCCTTCTCCTACTTTGTCGAGATGAAAAAAAAAAATATATATATATATATATACAGGTGTCTGTGTGTTACTTTTTAGTTCAGAGACGGATTAGTAGCGCGTATGGATGGGCCTGAGCACAGGGCCCCCTTGCCATGTTGACCATCACAGCCCATTAGGGTGGCCTTTCGGCTTATTTTGTGCTGCTTGTTTGTTTGGGCTTGTTAGTGGTCCGAGCCCCTTTTGAGCATATCAACCCTGAGCTTTAACCATTTCGAAAGGATAATCTAATAATAAAGACTCTCATATTTTAGAGACCGGGAGTTCAAATTCTTTTGGAGCTTCCCTCAAGAAAATTGGAGATTTCTCGATAATTGTTTAGTGTATGTACGACAGGAGATTACATGTGCTTAGTGGGGTTTTACAAATAGTGATGGATTGCTGTGGGTATGGGTTGCAACCTTGTTGGGTTAGCCTGTTCCTCAAAGAATGACAAAAATGTATAATATATGTTGAGGAGAGGCACAAAAATGTGTTTTTCAACAGGAGATTCGTGATCTCTATGGTTCACAAAAGAGACAATCCTAGACATCCTTCACAATTGTTAAAATCTTGAAAGATAAAAATACATATTTCAACATCGTCCTACAAATATTTATTATTCTAAATCTTCTTCATTAGATGCTAATAAGATTCTGATGTTCTCCTATATATAATAAAGGAAAATTGGCCGTCAACATAGACAAATGTGCTTATAAACGTTAATCACAATGTTTGTAGAATACAAGTATTGATAAGGAATCCCACAGACAAATTCGACTGATTTTATATGAGTATGAGTTAACATGATCATGACGTGAGTTTTTCCGACTGTCGTACTCTCGATCCGAATACTATTATTGAACATTTGCGTCTCTGTATGGCTTCATATCTTCAATTGGGCTTTCCATTCTCTGTGGGCCTTTCAACGGATCAACTTCAATGGCCTCATCATCACATTATCTTCATGATCCAAGATCTGAGTTAAAGCAAAGACCAAAAATCCAAGATCTGAGTTAAAGCAAAGACCAAAAATGAGTTATAAGACAACACATAATTCTCCATATTTATAAACAGATTTAGACAACTAATAAAGCTTTTAACCCCAACATATAATGTTGTAAATAATTTTCTTTGTTTGCCAAACAGAGTGAGAGAAACGAGAGTGGCTTTGGAATTTGTGGGCTTACAGGCCTGTGAAGTAGGCAAAAGGACATATTTGAGAAGCTTTTTGTTTTTACAACACCCGTGACACTGTCATAGTGTTTGGGGCCTCTTCTTGGTATCAACAATGCCACATCCTTGATTTTCTCAAATCTCTTCTTGCATAATTTCATTTTCTCTCCATATTTATAAACAGATTTAGGCAACTAATAAAGCTTTTAACCCCAACATCTAATGTTGTAAATAATTTTCTTTGTTTGCCAAACAGAGTGAGAGAAACGAGAGTGGCTTTGGAATTTGTGGGCTTAGAGGCCTGTGAAGTAGGCAAAAGGACATATTTGAGAAGCTTTTTGTTTTTACAACACCCGTGACACTGTCATTGTGTTTGGGGCCTCTTCTTGGTATCAACAATGCCACATCCTTATTTTCTCAAATCTTCTTGCATAATTTCATTTTCTACTCACAAAATCGTGGGCTGTATTGGTTAATACGCGAGGTATCATTCCGTTCGTAACCTTTTTTCAAGAATTTAATTCATTACACACATTTATGAACCGGACGATTTATAACGACATTTATCCAAATTCGTTACACCACGACCGTACTGCATCCAATATGGGATCAATAGATTGAGATTCACAAATACTGCGAGCCATATTATATATACTTATAATATGCTATAATAGCAAGGAGCAACTACTACCTATAAAAAGTAGTACTAAGTATTTATAAACAATAAATGAAAATAATGTTCTGAAAAAAATACTGATATATATATATATATATGAAAAGGATGAATGAAATGAAGGTATAGCAACTGCTACCTATAAAACGTTAAAATCTAGAACTATGTACCCATCCAAACAATCCCTAACCTACGTGATGCATACATAGTAAAAAGGAGGGACGAAATACTTACGTGGCAGTGGTACACATAACCAGGCTCAACAGTTGCATCAAACGAATATGATGCATTCGAATGTATGTAAGAAAATCTCACCAAAATCTTGGTAACATAACCGGGAGTCATCTTGTACACGTTCTTCCACCCTTTCTCATACACCGGCACCGCTATCTTCTTGCCACGTGCATACTTGTTTATTTGGCACTTGATCGCATCATTCAATTTATTCATGCAATCTCTAAACTCATCCACTTTCACTATCTCCGTCTGATCAAGCACCACAAAAAGCCCCAGATGAATATGCATCGGGTGATTATCCCCCGTCAGATTAATCACATTCCAAACCTCCGTGGCCCCCACCTTAGGCGTCTCAGTCGCTGGTGCTTCGTATGATTTTCCATTCATGTACAAATGTGTTGGCTCACCAATGTCGCTTGTGTACTCATACATAGCAATGTATCGTGTTAGCGAAGCACTGGATAAATCAGGGGAAAGATATTTTATCAACGTAGCCGGAACCCGCCACGTGTCGACCTCACGATTTTGTTTCACTACAAACTTCATGACTTTACCGTTTAATTCATTGACCGGGTCTCCGGATGGGTAAGGATAGGGTGCATCATTGGCTAGGATAACCAAATCAGATTTTGACTCTGAGAAATCAACGATCACATCAGCAATCTCAGATGGGGCCAGGAGGATTTCATTCACCATCAACGGTCGTTCATTGTAGACTGAATCAGATGCCACGTGGATAAATCCTAGGCCATTGGTGAAGAAGAACTTAAAGAATCTAGCATTACTAGCGTTGATGATGCGAAACCTATACTTTTTTCGCCGTACGATCATGCGGGGCCAGGCTTTGCCATTGACGATGATTACATCACCGAAATATTCGGGCTGCCACTGAGGGTGTATGGTGGGGTTATTTCCTGTGGAATTCATGTATATCGAACCATCAGTGCGAAAGCTACGATCGAAGACAATTAACGGTCGATCGTATTCCTCATTAGATGGGAGTCCGAGTGGGGCCTCAACATCAGGATGTCGTACAATGTAGGCACCGATCAGACCAGCTAAAAGGTTGACTCGGGTTAACCCCATGGCATGATCATGGTACCAAAGATTTCCTGGTTGTTGATTATTATGGTAGTGATATTTTTTCTTGGTCCAAGTGGGCCCCTTTTCTTTAAATCCAGCGGTGAACCAAGATTCCGCGTGTCCATCGCTCTCGGGCTCACCGATGTTTCCGTGGACGTGGACTACAGTAGGAATTCCTTTATTGGTGGAAGGTATTGCTGTTGGGATGGTTGGGTCCCACGGTAGTATGTGCTTTGTAGGGAGGTGATTCTTCCACGTCACATAAGTGTCGATCCCGTGGAGGACCTCGATGGTTGGACCAGGAACAGTTGCGGTGTACTTAGTTGTACCGTAGGCAAACACTGGAGTTGGAGGGAGATCTCTATGAAATTTCTGCAAATATTTGATCAAATTTCAATCATTTATCAAATGCACAAAAGAATTAAGGTTTAAAGACTTTTTTAACCAAATATTGTTCAGTGCAATCCATTAGATTTCAAGTAATGAATCAAATACTTTTCCAACCATCCCGATTCGAACAATTTAAATCGAGAATTCAACGTATTACAATAAAGACATAGCATGTAGAGTCACATACAATAATAATATAAAGATTAATACAACATATTAATTCAAAATTGTAATATTCATTCAACATAACTAATCAAAAAAGCAACACCTGAGTACTAAGGGCCCGTTTGATTTTTTTAATTCAGCGCTGAATGCAGAACATGGTAAGTAATTTTTAAAAATAAGTTTGTTTGATAAAATTTTAGGACACCACTTAACAGGGTAAGTACAGTTTTAAGCGTGCAGAAGGTTACTTATCTCTTATCGCAGAAGAAGGTAAGTGGTTGGATTTAAAAAATAATTTTTTAATGACTACTCTACCCTCATATAATTGTGTTCTCTCTTTTACGATTTCTCTCCGCAATTTTTCTAGTGAAAATGAATTATATGTAACAAATTCCAAAAAAAAATAAAAAAACATAATTTTACCTAATATATTTTAAACACATGTATAGCATTTTGGTTACCATTTATATTGATTCACTATAGAAAACAATTATTTATATAACAGAATTCTATTCAATTTCACTTACTTTCTTTAATATTTTTAATACCATTTTTATACCCTACATAAATATTATGTAATTATTTATATAATAGAATTCTATTCTTAGAGAAGAATTGTCTTTCACGCACTTTTTTAACACTCTTTTCAATACCCTACTGTGGAGGGAAAAAAACTCCCTCCAATAAAAAACACACACGTCACCACTACCCATATCTACAGGCCAAGGACATATAAGGCCCATCATGCTCAAGCCCCAAGTTGAGGGTATTTACAACCCAAGATCATTCCATCAAGGCCGAATCAAGAAACTATCAGCCCAGCTTGTCGTCAGCCCAGATATAAGTATTTCACATCCGGCCTGTTACCCAAGCCCAGCCGGATCAAAATATATTCAGCCCAAGAATGCACAAATCCTACCATTTGAAAAATTTACCATAGAAGGAAAATTCGGATAGGAAGTTCTGTACAAGGCAAATTCTATGTATGGAAAATTCAACAATGGAAAGAACTCTATTAGAAAAGAATGGTTATATAGAAAGAATTGGAGGGCAAGCAACGCGAGTCCTACCATAATTCTGCAATCTTTTGTATATAAATAGAGGCTAAGACCTCCAATAAAGGATCAAGCAATTTACGCTTCTCTAGACACTGTTCTTATTTATTTTTATTGTTTTTTCAGTGAGTTGTTTTATTTTTCTCAATCATTATTGGTTGAGCGAAATTTTACACCTACACTTTGGCGCCGTCTGTGGGAATCGTATAGAAATATACTCCCACTTGTTCTTCCTTTAATCGTGTCTAGAATGTCAAACGGAGAGTCAGTAATGAGTCAACAGATAGAATTGATGCAAAAGATGCGAGAAGAGTTCTTGCACCAATTTGAGACACTCCGGCAAGCGAACGATACGAGTGTCGCCCAGATAGCTACGCTTCAGCAGTAGACTCATACGATACACACGGCCATGGCCAAGCTAACGCCACAACCACCACCAGGCGATGCTGCGGCACCACCTCCCACCCGGAATTTACCTCTGGTCCACGAGCCTCCAGCCAACGAGACACCACCCAACGGGGCTCGACCTAGTGAGGTTCAGCAAAAGCAAGGGACGAGGTCCGAGGCGGTTGCTTCGGATAATCTCCCGCATCGCACTCAGGACGAACAGGCCGAGTCCAGCCATAGGCTTACGGTATGGTCCAATGGCGTTCCGGATGGCGCACGTGTGCAAGATGCCTTCGACGAAAAGAAGCTCTTGAGAGTCCAGACACCAGCCGAGATGGCTAGAGAGCACAAGAATTCCTTGGTCAAGACCCCCTTTACTGACGAGGTGTACCTTGTGGAGAGGCCGAAGAAGTTCACTATGCCATCCTTCACCCAGTTCGATGGGGCAGGAGACCCCTCTCGGCATCTTGATCATTATGCGCAAAAGATGGCACTGGACGATCATAACGATCCGTGGATGTGTAAGGTTTTTCCTACCAGTTTAACCGGAGCAGCGTTAGAATGGTTCAGGAATAGGCCACACAAGTCTATCCCTGACTATGAGACCTTGTGCACCATGTTCTTAGCCCAGTATTGCGGAAATAAGAAGCAGAAGAAAAGTATCGCCAGCCTTTTCACCATAAGGCAAAGGAAGGGAGAAACTTTGCAAGATTTCTTATCCAGGTTTAACATGGAGGCTTCGGAGATAGCAGATTGCCATCCTGCCACGGCAATCGAAACATTTAAGTTGGCGATGATCCAGGGAACCAAGTTTCACACATCCTTAGTCAAATATTCCCCCCCGGATATGCAGACTTTGAACGCTAGGGCACAAATCTACATCCGGTTAGAGGAAAACATAGCCCACCGTGCACAGCACGCTACCCTCGTTACGGTGGAAAACAAGTCTCGAGAGAAAGCTGCGAGCACAAGGATGCAGAAGGTCCCTCATACCGCCACACAAGTCACCCAAGCGTCTGAGAAAAGGCGAAGGACAGAGGATAGGCTTACCCCTCTCCGTACTACCTTGGCGCGCCTATTCCAAGAGAATAAGACGAGGTTCACAACTCCTCAGCCCATGAAGCAACCCTTGGAGCAGAGTGACAAAAGCAAACATTGCGCCTACCATAGAGATTATGGGCATACCACCAATGACTGCAGGTCCCTACAGCGACAAGTAGAAAGCATGATAGCGAGAGGAGAATTAGTGGAGTATCTCGCCACAAAGGAGCACGTAAGACCTCGGGAGGTTAACCCTCGACGGGTAGAAAGCGGTCAGGTAAAGGTTATCCATGCCATACACGGAAGATCAGAGGATGATAAAGAATCTGAAGAGTTGTACAGATCTAGGCTGCGAGAGGCTCATAAGTTACGCAGGTTGTCTTCGGTAAACACAGTTACACCAGGCAGCATCAACATTGGATTCGGTAACAATGACCTTTCTAGAGTCCAGCGCCCGCATGAGGACCCCTTGGTCATTAGCCTCCTGGTAGCGAATTACATGATCAGGAGAGTACTGGTAAATCCAGGAAGTAGCGCCAACATCATTACAAAAACAGCTTTTGATCAGTTGGGGATTTCGCCATCATCCATCAGGCCAACTTTCGGCCCCCTAATGGGATTTGATGGTACTAAGGTGAATCCGCTTGGGGTGGTCGATCTATCCGTTACTGCAGCAAAGAGAACTCTAAAGGAAAACTTCGTCGTGACAGAGATTCATCCATCTTATAACCTCATTATGGGAAGAGGTTGGATCCATCGTATGAATGGAGTCCCTTCTACACTTCATCAAGTAATGAGATGTTTATCCCCGGATGGCAGGGAGGTCATCGACCTCTGGGGAGACCAGGTTGCTGCCAAAGAATGTTACATGCTAACGCTACACGAAGCAAAGAAAGCGTTGAAATCACCTCAGTCAGAGGCGAATCCTAAAGACGCAATCAAATAGCAGCTACAGTATCCTCTGCCCAAGTATCTCAAGGCAGAGGAAGAAGCCGAAGTTGAGGCACCTACCGAGGAGTCCCTCGAAGCTGTAGAGGTAGTCCTCGGAGACCCTCAGAAGACCACCTACATTGGCTCATCTTGCACAGCCGAAGAGAAGGAAGCATTGATCAGGGTTATTCGGTGCAATTCGGACGTCTTTGCCTGGGATCACTCAAATATGGTGGGGATCAATCCTACAGTCTCATGCCATAGTCTGAGGGTTAACCCAGAATTCAGGCGGGTCAAACAGAGGCACCGACGGTTCGCACCTGAACGCAATCGCATAATAGCCAAGGAAGTGAATAAACTGTTACAAGCAGGATTCATACGAGAGGTGCAATACCCACAATGGCTCTCGAATGTAGTAGTCGTTCAAAAGAAGAATGGGAAATGGAGGGTGTGCGTAGATTATACCAACCTTAACAAAACTTGCCCAAAAGATAGCTATCCTCTGCCCAAGATTGATCAAATGGTGGATGCTACGACGGGATATGAAAGGCTCACATTCCTCGACGCATACTCTGGCTATAATCAGATTCCCATGAATCCTGAAGATGAGGAGAAAACTGCTTTCATCACAGAAACGGGCACTTACTGCTACAGAGTGATGCCCTTCGGTCTAAAGAATGCCGGAGCCACCTACCAACAACTTGTCAATAAAATTTTCAGTAATCTACTGGGCAATACAGTTGAAGCCTATATCGATGATATGGTGGTTAAAAGTATACGGAAAGAGGACCACCCGAAGCACCTCCAGGAGGTCTTTGATACTCTCAAGAGATACAATATGAAGCTGAACCCCACCAAGTGCTCCTTCGCCGTTTCGTCAGGACAGTTCCTTGGGCACGTCGTAAATAAAAGAGGAATAGAAGTAAGCCCAGCACAGGCAAAGGCACTCATACAGAACCAGGAACCGAAAACTCGCAGGGAAGTGCAAGTTCTAACCGGTCGAATTGCGGCTCTCAGCCGGTTCATATCCCGATTATCTGATAAGTATAAACCTTTCTTTGATGCTATTCGATCCAAAAACAAAGATATGTGGGGATCTCAGCAGCAGGAAGCTATTAATCAATTGAAAAGCTACATGGCAAAACCCCCAATCCTTTCCGCTCCAACGCCCGGAGACACTCTCATCCTGTACCTGGCAGTATCAGCTGTAGCAACAAGTGCAGTGTTGATCAAAGAAGAAGACAAGGTTCAGCACCCAATCTTTTATACAAGCAAAACTATGACGGATGCCGAGATATGGTACAGCAAGACAGAAAAGGTAATCCTGGCGTTAATTTATGCCAAGAGGAAACTTCGACATTACTTCGAGTCTCACAGCATAGTGGTACTTACAAATTACCCTAT